TGAGGCATTAGTTGGGCAAACCTCATGTTTGAAGTATAAATCGTGTGAATCTGTGTTTAAATCATGTTATGCAAATTTTCTGTAAAGTGATACATCCGCGAGTTGGTGTTCAATTTTCTCCCTGATTTAACATTATTTTGATGAGGTTCTTGGTACCATGTTGTAGACCTCCATGAGATCTACACTTTTAGTGTTTATACTTTTGAATTTCGTTGAGATTTGAGTAAGATATGAGATTCTGAATATCAATTGTTGAGACTGAAACATGTGATGCTAGGGTTCTTTTTACAGGGATGATGAGGTGTCATCCTCCGATTAAGCATGTTCTTGGTTTCTTTTACAACGCATTTTGTTTAAAACTATTGTAGTAGATCATGTTCATTTTTGAATTTTAGCTTATTCTATTTGTTTTCTTCAAATTTATTTCAGTAGTTTCATCGATCCAAAAATCACCAAAAAATTACACAAAATATTTTAATGAGTCTATTTCATCACCATATTTTTATTTTTATTTCAGAAATTTTGTGGTGCCTTAATTAAAATAATTGATTAAAGGTATCATTTTTTCAAATATTTTTGTTCATATAATGTGGTGATTTTATTTTAATCATTCCATTAATTCAAAAAATCAACAAAAATAAGTTTAGAGTTCATTTCTGCTTTAATTAATTTTAGGTGATTTTTAATAAAAAATTTAAATGTTTTTTATTTGATTTTTAAATTGTAGAAGCATAATGTTCATTTTTTAGAGTTTTCTTACTTATGCTTGAAGCCTGATTTAATTCTTCAATTTCCTCCACTTGTAAAAATCAGAGAAAATTATTTTAGGATTCTTGGGAGTCTTAGGATCATAAAAATAATTTTTAATAATTTTTACCCCCTACCTTAGGAATCAGAGAAAATAATCGAGGGTTTCTTCAACGAGAAGGACTCGACTACTCTGAAGTATTTGCTCCAGTAGCAAGATAGGAGACTGTTCGACTAGTGCTTGCATTGGCATGCAATCAAGGCTGGTCAACATTTCATTTAGATGTGAAATCAGCATTTCTGACTGATCCTTTAGATGAAGAGGTCTATGTCACACAACCTCCAGGGTTTGTGATTCAGAAAGAAGCGAGTAAAGTATATAAGTTGCACAAATCGCTCTATGGGCTCAAGCAGGCACCTAGGGCATAGAACAAGAAGATCAACTCATACTTAGTAGAATTGAGATTTGTCAAATGCAAATCTGAGTATGGTGTCTATGTTCAGGTTGTAGCACAAGATATAGCAATCATCTGCTTATATGTCAATGACTTGCTAGTAACTGGAAACAGTTTGGAGAACTTGTTGAAATTCAAAGAGCTGATGATGAAGGAATTTAAAATGTCAGATCTGGGAAAATTGTCTTATTTCCTAGACATGGAATTTCAAATGTCGAAACAAGGTATGGTGCTACATCAAAGAAAGTATGTCAAAGAGATACTCAAAAGATTCAGAAATGGATGATTCAAATCATGCATCTTCACCTGTTGAACCAAATGTGAAGCTGGAGAAGAATAGAGAGGTAGAAAAAGTCGATGTAACTTTGTTAAAGGAAATCATGGAATCTCTGAGATATGTGTGTAATAGTCGACCTGATATAGGTTTCGCTGTCGAATTAGTAAGCAAATATATGAGTGAACCAAGAGTGTCACATATGAAGGCTACAAGAAGAATCCTGAGATATTTGAAGGGTTCGATAAACTGTGGAATACTATTTCGACAAGATTTTGAAGACAAAGAAGCAATGATTAATTGTTTTTTAGATGTTGATTGGTGTGAAGATAATGAAGATCAAAGAAGCACAACTGAATATTTCTTTCAAGTATTTGGTTCCTCAGTTTCATGGTGTTCAAAGAAGCAACCTATGGTAGCATTGTCATCGTGTGAAGATGAATATATAGCAGGATCCTATGTTGCATGTCAAGCAATTTGAATAAGATTTGTACTTGAAGAATTGGAGGTCGAAGTGAAGAAACCTCTAGTGTTGCAAATCGACAACAAGTCAACCATAAATCTGGCGAAGAATCCAGTTCTGCATGGAAGAAGTAAATATATCGAAACTAGGTTTCACTTCTTGAGGGAAAAGGTAAATCGATGTGAACTTGAAGTTAGGCATTGCTCAAGTGAAGCACAATTGACCGACATTTTCACTAAAGAATTGAAGATCGACAGATTTCTGAATTTAAGAAAGAAATTAAGAATAGCTTAGATCGACTGTGACTAGCGTAGGTTCAACAACTTGAATTATGAGAGTATGTTAAAATATTAAAAATAGATTTGATTAAATTTGATTAGATTTAATATTTAAATATAATCTAAATTATATTAACTCAAATTTAATTAAAATTGTAGATAATAATCATAATATATATCTTTATTTTATACAATTTATTAAATAAATAATAAAAAATTTTTTATTACTCTCTCTTTCTCTCTTTATTAAAAATATCTCACATATTAAGAGATTCTCCTAATAATTATAATAGCACTTTTTATAAAAAGTTCCGTATTAGATAGTCCATCAACAACACTTTAAAAGCCACATATTGAATAGACAAGCGACAATATTTTTTTAATATGGAAATAGTAGTTGATTTTTCTAAAAGTTACTTTATATTTAAAAATATTATTGCATATTGATTATAAATAAAAATACTAATATTATAATATAATAAAATTAAGTGTCTATAATTATAAATTACAGAGAAAATTCAAATCACATGTATGACTATAGGAATCAAAACACTTTATTTGTGAACATCTCAGACTAAATATTATTAAATCGACAATAAAATTAAAAATATCATTACTCGTTTTCATGTGATACTATTTGTCTTTGAAAAAATACTAATTAATTAACTCTCTTATTCCTTATCGTACATATACAAACAAAGACAAATAGAAATATTATAATTCTCCATTTCATTTTCTTTCTACCGAAGTTTCTTTTAGGACTCTTCAGTCTCTTTCTCTACGAGAGGAAACTTAAGGACTTGTCACTCCCCTTTCTTCTTACTAAAGTGATTTTAATATTTGAAAAAAAAAAAAAACAGTGATTTAAATATCTTGTCTTAAGTCATGAAAATTCAACATAACTAATAAATATATATAAAAACCAAAATGAAATTTATTATATATTTTTGACAAAACTATTTTTTTTATTTTATTTTCACCACTCATATCGTTTAACATAAAAAATAAATAATTTCTTTTCAATCATAATTATAAGAGATCAAATCGTAATCCTTCCTATCAATTTTAACCTAATCACCACTATCAAAACCAACTTTATCACAATAAAAATCATAAATACTACATAAAGATATTTATTATTTAAAATATGGTACTTTTTTAGCCCTACAAAAAAATAACTTATCTAGTACTTTATACTATCTATACTACTTTAGATTGAAATGTGTCACGATACCCACATAGATTATTTCACCTCTTATGATATATAATGCATAATTATAAAATTTGGAAAGAAATATAATAAAATTGAATAAATTATTAATAAAACTTTGATAAAATCATAACTTATCAAAGAAAGAGGTCTTTAATTATAAATACATTGTAAAATTAATAATTTGTTTTCCAAAATAGAAAGTATATTTTAAAATATCTTACATGACAAACACAAATAGCAACTTTGTTATTCTGATAGAACTTGTCATTGCAATATTAAAAGTATTTTTCATTAATTAGAGGAAAATGATTTGTCAAAACAAATGGGCTCTAATTAATATCTGCCTTGGCTACAAATACTCTTTTGTCATCTCAAACAACAACAGCTCAAAGAGGAAATAGAACATGCCTATATTTAGCTATAGAGTGTAGTGAGATATTTTTGAATTGAGATATATTAAAGTTCAACATAATCATTTGACAAAATATCTTTTTTATCTTGCTGTCAATGTCAAGATTTATTTTGGTTTTTTAATTTACAAAAAATTATATTAATTTTTTAATTTTTTAAAATATTTTATTTTAGTCATTTTTATTTAATTAAGGACAAAAAAATTCAGAAATCGATCATTAAAACTGTCGTAATTAAATTAAAAAAATTTAAATAAAATATTTTAAAGAATTAAAAAATTAATATAATATTTTTTAATTAAGAGATAAAAATAAACTTTTACGTTAATATACAATAAAAAAAATATTTTTATTTTAGACAAACACATTCATCATGAATCAAGATAGATTTTTGCACTTTTGCATCCCAAGCTGGATCGATGTACACGTTTGATATTTGCAATAGCTTTCTTTGCTCCTAAAGCTCAATCTTTATGATAATCTTTTAACAAAGTTGGGTCACTATATATAACGCTTTATGTCTCTTCAGATTTCAACATTTTCCTTCATAAATTATAATTGCTATTTTTCATACAACAAGTTGCCAGTATGATGTTTGGAATTGAAACACGTACGATCAGTCAAGCCGTAAGTGTTAAAAAAATCGAAGTAAATGGTTTAATTGATTGAATTGAGATTATGTTAATATGCGCAGATATCCATCAATTTGATCAAAAGATAATCTGACACGTTAAAATATTTGAAGTCTGAAAGCTCTCTACAATAAAACATGTTTTACGACAAATAGGATAAACCTCATCAATAGGAAATAAAGAAATCATAAGACGGTATATTAATATAGTACGATACTCCACCAGTGACATATGTTGGTCTAACCCATCAATAGAAATAACAAGGAGAAAGTCTTGAGCATGTGCGGTTTGTAAACAACCAAAAACTACCTTCTGCCTTATAGTCATGTTAAACTTCACATCTATGTCTTTAACAATTTTACTAAAAAGTACACTCGCTAAAATAAGTTGTGCTTTAGGAGGGACGATGTCCTTACTAGTAAAATTGCTAAGGTCAAAATTTAGAATCACAACACTAAGACCATCCAAAGCTCTGTCGAAATCCGAGTCCATACCGTACACCCCATTGTGTCTCAGTATATGATCTTGTCACCCAACATTGGGTCCTAGAAGCCAAAAGGCGTATGAGGCGACCTCTACAACCAAGTACAAACTCAAACCCCCAACTCTAATGGATAATGAAGTCACCCTCCATTGAACGTCCCCGAAGAAAGGACCTCCACCAACCACGATGTCTTCAATCGCCTTTTGTAACTCTTTATCAAACCAAACTGTTGCTTCCTTCATATGAGTAGGTTGGCACGTTCTTAGGCCAAAAACCAATTTGGCAATATCCATGTAGGGTCGAAGTAGAAGAAGCTCACTCTGAGGATCCCTTAGTTATGGTATAAGGTGCATTAAATCAATAGCCTTGGAAGTTCTCTTCTTGGACAACTCTTTAATGAAATTGTCATCCCGACTAACAACCCTTCCAAGCAACTTCATCCCTAACAGCGACCTCCCAATTTCTGATGGGAACAAATCCTCACGATGTTTACTACCATCGCATGAAGGCCAAAAGATCTCAGTCTTACGAATATCCAATTCAAGACCTAATCCTGGACCTGTCTCCCGAATGATATCAAGGGCTTTAGCCAACTCTTGTGAATCCCTTATAATATTTCCATCATCAAGATACCGGGCATGAAGAAGAAGCTTACAGTTGTCCCTAACCTAATGAATGAGTGAGTGTAACATAAGAGCAAAAAGGAACAACCCTAATAGGTCACCTTGTTGTACTCTGGTGGCTGACATAATATATCCATCCCCAAGGTACAACCTTGTTACTTGTCCATAAAGAAACTCAACTCACAAAGAAATAGATGGATATCTCACTCTCACCTCGCGTAATAAGGTTGATCGATCTACCATGTTGAAAGAATTCGAGAAATCTACAGTGACCATAGCCAAGGAACTATCTATGTATCGCTTGCTTAACACCCTGTTGGCACTATGCAAAATAACCTCATCACCACCTGATACCCTAACCCCAAACTGAAAGTCATTGAGGTATCGTGCCATATCTTTACTGGCCCCTTTCATAGCAACCTTGGATACCAACCGCCTCCAAATATAACCCACAACAATTGATTGTATCCCACCATCAAACTTTAATAATAGAGTCAATGATGCAGAGGAAACAAAATCCTCCAAACTCATGGGACATCTTTCTCCTAGCCATAAGTTAACAACTAGAGTGATTTTATATAAAAGATCTTTTGCCACAGTAGAACCTTCCCCACACAGTGCATCTAAAATATGTTGAGCACGTAAATCATATCTACCACATAACTTCCCCTTGGGAAAGGATTTAACACACTTGAAGATAGTATATGCATCGATCACTAGGGGAGCTTTAGAGAATAAGGTGATCGACATGGAGGGAGGTGGTATGTACGAGTGCTTAGCCTCCAAAGCCTTCATTGTATGTTTAATATAGGGGACTATGCCAGATAACCCTAACACTTTTAAAACCACTGAAATAGCCATCTACAACCTTGCGGAGGCATTGCTTGACATTAGAGCTCATCTTTTTATCTTTCTCCTCAATATGAACACTCCCACGACCCGAGTTACCTTTCTCTGAGCTTCCCAACACACTATCAACTAACTCGGAAAGACCACCAGTGTCTCTCCAAGTAGCTAAACACTCCAAAATATGGTGTTATTTGTTGCAAGGACTTCTGATTTCCATACTTGTGATCCCATCCATTTTGAGGTTTAACTACCTGTAATGTACAACGAGGGAGAAGTAACAACCGAGCACATGCACCTACTGATCCCGAATCAACAACCACCTTGTAAAGAGAATCTTTCAATGTTTGAGAGAAAGTAAGATGATAACTTAGAAGTATACTCTTCACAGTGAAGATAGGTGCAGTAAGAACTCTCTCTAACAACCTTGCATCGAAAATAAACTCCTCATTTACTTCGAGTTTATCTGAGTCTGTTGTGGATGGTTTAACAATACCCACAATGTGACTTCCGACCCCTCATGTCCCATGAATGGCACGAACAAGACCATCAAGATGATGATATGCCCGACTCATGGCATGAATACTCACACACCTTCCACATAATCATTGCTCAATCACCCTCAAAGACTCTTCCAATATCGTAAATAAATCACAATCATTCTCAATCGTATTCCGTATGACATTTTTTCGTTTGTCACTACATAAATGTAACATCTTAAGATGACACACCAAACGAGAAACACCTTTGATCTCATCTCTACTATGGGGACAACAATGAAATCCTCAAAATGGACAATATAAAAACATTTCATTCATGTACTAAATTATTTATGAACTCTTGAAAAAACTTTCAAAATCAAGATTTGCTTTACAAAGTTATTGAATGCTTGAATATGCTATGAACCTAAAATCACCGTGATTTAAAAATTTAAAAACTTGTCCACCATAAAATTGGATATTATAGTTGATAAATTCCATGAATTTGAAATTAAATTGAACCTTATTACTGAAAGCAAGGAAATAGATAAGAAAAAGAAGAGACTTGCACTAAAAGCTACAATATCAATGACAGAGAGCCAAAGAAAAAAGAAGGTTGTGATTATGAAAGTGCTGAAGATTTAAATCTACTATTTTGGATATTAAAAAAATATATAAGGTACAAAAAAATCCTCAAAACTTTCAGAGAAAAGAAGTAAGACCATCCTTCAATTCAACATGTTTCTAATGTGAAAAAAGGATAATAAAAAGACTAGTTGTCTTTTGAATAGAAAGAAAATTGAAAAATACAAAGACCATAAAAAATCAAAAAGAATTTATATTATGTGGGATGAAAATAACATGGACCAATTCGATGAATCTGAAAAGAAAAAAAAATCAACTTGTATATGATAAAAAACTATAAAGAAAATAAGATAAACGAATTTGAAACTTGACTTTAGCTATTTAAAAAAACTATTTTCACTTTTCAAATTAAAAATAAAAATATAATCAAGAAAACATTTCTTAAGTAAAGACTCTTCCTCTACTCTTTTTTAAAGTTTATAAGAAAAATATATCAAGTGTGAAGAATATCAAATTATAAATTAATAAAATTTTAAATTTTCATAACACTCTTAATAAATTCATCAAAAAGATAAAAATTTGAACATCATCTTAGGAAAAAGAAAGAGACATTTACTAATATTATGTTGCACCTAAATTTTTTTTATTGTGGTAAAATATGGCCACACTTCTTCTTCCTATAATATAAAAAAATATCGTGAAACAAAGGTCACAAAAAAATGAATTTCAAAAAACAACATATCTTACATTAAAACTAGAGGATCTAAAATTATTTAAATACCAACGGTTAAGATTTAAATTTGTTATGCATTATGCTTTATAGTTTTAAATCAAAATAGTATCTCAACCGTGATTGTTCAAAGCACATGACATGAAAGTTGTAACCGTTTTTTTTTTCACAATAGAAAAGATAATTTTAAATATTGTACAAGAAAAACTAAACTTGACAAACATGCATAGCAACTTTGCTTCTTTTTTTCTTTTTGTGATAAAAGCAACTTTGCTACTTTGATAGAACTTGTCGTTGCTATAATGGAAGTATCTTTTATTAGAGGAAAATGATTTATCAAATCAAATGGGCTCTAATTAATATCAGAATTGTCTACAAATACTCTTTTGTCATCTCAAACAACAACAGCTCAAAGAGGAATTTGAAACATGCCTATTTGAGCTATTTAAGAGTCTAGATTGATACTTGCACTAGTTGTTTTGTCTTCATGCATATCACTTGCACTAGAATGTATAATTTTGGATTGAGATTATTAATGTTCAACATAGTCATTTTAGTCAATCATAGCATGAATCAAGATAGATTTTTGCATTTTGGCAACCAAAGCTTGACCGATGTACACATTTGATGTTTGCAATAGCTTGCTCAGCTCCTAAAGTTCATCTTTAGGATTGAAATTCTGTTTAGGTCAGAATCAAGTTATCTCGGACAATATAAGAGAACTAAGTTATCTCACACAATATTGAAATAATGTTGAAGACAAGATAATTTAAATTAAACAATGAAAAATATCAATTAATAATAAATAAAGAACTCAAAGAATTGATAATACAGTTTAATATAACGTTTCCTATGTCTGGAAGGCTTCAAGGCAAGAAAAAGGAAATTCATTAATTCAAATAGTCAATAGTACACAAAAATCTCTTATTAACTCTCCCGGCTCAGTGTCATTTTTCTAATATTATTCGTGAATTTTGTATCGCCAAAGAGTACAGGTGTGTGCGTGTTCTCCTGCAAGGGCATGTAGACTCAGAGTCATAGTAGGTATATTACACATTTGAGGGTGAAGATTAGCTCACGGCGGCGAGTAGCAATGTACGATGGTTTTTGAGGTTGTTAAAGGGACCAAATCACCGGAGGTGAGAAGCCCTCCTGATAACTAATTGGCGGATGAATTCACGGCGTTAGGGCTACCAGGAGCGAAGTGCTATATGAGTATTAGTGGGTGATATTGAGTGTGTATGACTTGATATTCTCCCTTATCCTTTTGAGGGATGGGATATTTATAAGAGTTCCTGATTCCTAGGGTTTTCTTGGGAAAGATCGTCGTCCACCTAAATAAGAGGTGGACAGTGGAATCCATATTCCAGAGAGAGACATAGGTTGGTAACGACTATGACATTCTCTTTATCCAAGACATGTCTTATCCCACGTTTCTTCTCCCCGGGGAGAAGGAAAACATAGGGGTGAGGCGATACCTCCCTTCAGGCAGCCTTGCATCGTCAGTCAGAGTGGCAAAAGGGGTCTGGCCTGTTGGGCATGCTTGTTTTTCCTGCACTTTTACGCGGGGCAGGTCAAGCTTTTAGGCTCACAACCTCTAATATGTCTGCTCTTCCCCGCTCCATTTTTATGGGTTTTTGTGGCCACAAGCAGTTACGTAAAGTTTTACATTTTAGGCCTATAAAGTGCAAAGTCTGCAGGCATTCCCCACCCCGCCCTCATTTTTCTGCGGGGGCGGAGTAAGGTTTTGTAAGAACAAGATTTGGATCTATGTTTAAATCTTTGTGTTTTGATGATAACAAGCATATGTTTTATGAAGAACAATTTTATTTTTAATGATTTCATTGAGTGTGCAGATATATGATTAGAATTATGGATAGTCTTAATCAAGATATCATAAGAATCACATTACCACTCAGAAGAAGAACCATTGAGTTTTGTTTATAATGAAACATCAGTAGTTCTATGGAATACTGAATGTTTGACAAGAAAAGAATCTCAATGAGTTTCTAAGAAGAAAGAGTTTCTGATAAGCTGGTGCTACAAGATCAGAAATCAAGAGTAGACAAGAAATAAGCTTACAATGCAGAAGATCAGAAGTAAATATTTTCTCATCAGAAGATTTGTTGCTCATAGTCTGAAGACAAAGTCAAGATTATTAAGACCCAGAGAGTTCATGGAATACACACCTTAATTCATCATCAGAAGTATTCCATCAGAAGAAAGAAAGAAAGATCTTGAGGACTCACATCTAATCAACATCTTAAAGTTCATCAGAAAACAAGATCAAAGGATGATTTCTTTTCAAGCCATTCTACTCAATAGAAGTAAAACTCGTTCTAGTGTGTAGTTGCTGCTTTAATGTTATAACTCTAGTATCAAGGCGTGTGATGTCATCAGGTTCTGAACATAAACAATATTGGTAGAAAACATGTGATTATATGTTACAGTTAAAGTCAATATTCTGGAATTCGTCTTATGCAACGGTTCTTAGGAACGTTAGTACAAGATGTTTTGATCATGACTTTATGGTTAAGCTTTGGAGGCCTTCTAAAGCTTCACTTCTATGTGTTCCAAGTTTTGAAGATTATGAAGACGAGGTTCTGCTGAACAAGTTTGGATGATTTGAAGAAAAGCAAGTCCTTACGACCAAGTGTTGAAGACTCTGAAGACAAGGTTCTGATGGGATAAGTTCTGAAGACTCCAAGACTTAGGTTCTAAGACTTATGAGTGATTCTTCTACAACAAGCTTCAAACATTCAAATTATATGAAGATTAGAAGAAGTATAAAATGGTTAATGTGTGATGGTGTACAATAGGTATAAAAGGTGCTCAGTGACCTCTACCCTCTAGGGTGGTGTAAGGAAAGTCCTTTTGTATTGTATTGTCAACCACTCTCATTGTGACCGTTGGAAACAAACAACTGTTTACCATATTATCTTTCTACCCGTAACGAATCTATGTCTATAAGCTAAGTAGAAAAACATCTATTGAAGATAAGGTTAAAGTTAAACGTTGTAAAATGATAGGCAATGAATAATATCACTCTGCACTGTCCAAAATCTTACACCTTAATCTATCCGTTGGGAACTAACCGTTGATGCAGGAAAGGATTTTATAATCCTCGCAACGTCTCTCTCTCAAGGCTATAAAAGAAGATCAAAGATTTGAAGTAAAGTGCTCTTGGCCATCAAGTTGAAAAGTCGTGGATGCAGAAGCTGTCAAATCTGCAATGCTAAACATGTTGAAGACCACTAAACATAAATGAGAGAAAAGAAAGAAAGAAAAATAAGAATAAATCTACAACATTCTACACAAGCTATCATCATATACATCTTGATATATATCAGAAGAAGCAAGGAATTGTTGCTCGTAACTTGCTCAACAAGAAGATGAAGAAGAAGAATACTACAAGACACTACCCAACTTCTAATCAAATACATATTGATAGCACATTGTAATTTACACAAGAGTTGTTTCTCGTATTGTGTTTTAGTTCTAATCTCTTCATATTAATTGTTTTAACACAAGAGTTATTGCTCGAAATTGTGTTAAATGATATTTGCTTAATCACTTGTGTAATCTGCTTAGAAGAAGGAATTATGTAAACACAAAATCCTATCAACCACTGTTGATTGATTCCTTGAGTGACCAAGTGAAGGTCTGATCTTAAGAAGACAATTGTTGCTGGTCATTGTAGAAAATCCTAAAAGAAGATCTTAAGTGATCTGATTCTGTTGGGTCAATGTCATACCCAAATTTTCCCGCCCTTTATTTCTACGATCAAAAGTATTTTAAATATTGGTTTTATAATATTCTTTGATCTTTATGAATATTTACTTCCAAACCTATTTAAAAATATTATGATTTATTTCAGATCATTTGTATTTTTGAATAACTAAATATTTTCTTGACCTTCGTATGCTTTCAAAAACACTTTAATTTTGAATAAACAACATATCAGAGTTGGTAAAAAATAAAACTTGCAAACATAGTATCATGAGTTCAAATCTCATGTATTTTAATTTTGACATTTTATTTGATTTATGTTACAGTTACTAACAATGTTATTAGTTTTTGCTATCACTAACTATTTCATAAACTTTATTTTTTTGATCATAATTGTTATTTCTGGAGTGATTTAAATTGCTAGCATAATGTTGTAACTAATTAGAATATAATTAATTGATCCACTTTTTTTTGTTGTAAATATCATAGGTTTTTATTAAACTTTACGGTCACATTTTTATTATATCAGTACTACGATGACATCAGTAAAACAAATTGGAATGAAAATCTTCAATTCAATAACCCCAAAACTAATATACTTCAAGTCAACTCTTCAAATCACTATAATATCTGCATAAAATCTTTCCTAATATGGAACCATTAAACTGAATAAAATCTCACAATTGGTATCAAGTTCATGAATCACCACCGTCTGCAACACGCACGTCCGACCACTCTTCACCGTGCGACACACCCTGCTCACGCCACTGCTCAACCGCTTCAGCCTTCGATCCCACAAGCGACTCGCAGCAGATCCGGCGAGCATCCCGCCTTGCTCCTCGTCGGCCAACATCTTCGTTCAGCGCCTCCTTTGTACCGGCAACTCAACATCACTGTGACCTACCAAGCCAAACACAAATCGACGCAGCGACCGTCTGACCCTCCACTGCGATTCGCCCATTTCCTCTCACCCGAGACGTCGAAGACGACACTGGATCTGTCCCTAAGGAAACACCGTGGGAAGCACTAATTAAGGTTCGTTTTTCGTTTCCCATTTTTGATTTGGTGTTGAGAAGTGCAAGATTGTGGATCTTTGATTTTGGTTAAGAAAAGATGAGAGGAACTTGTTTGTTTTTTATTTATTTAAATCATGGACACTTGTTAAAAACAGATTGGTTGGAGGATAAGTTGAAAAGTGTATATAATATTGGGGAAAATTGAGTGCCATTTCCGATTTTCTCTCAACACCCTATTGCTGATTTTTTCTTTGGTTTTTTTATTTAGTTATAAGTTAGGATTTCATTTGGAAGTTGGGCTTTGAGGCCTTGGGTTAAAAATCTGTTCGCCAATCCATACTCCCACGTTTCTATTGCACCCTTTTTTAGGTTTGTTATTCCAATAATCATGTTGATTCATTTAGTTTTCTATTAGGAGAATTTCAATTTAAGTTAATGTTATAAAACATAAGAAACTCATAAAAATACAAAAAAATAACAAAATGTGATTAAGTTAGTAATTAAATAGGTATGTATTTAGACCTTTCGATCAAATTTAGACTTGTAAATAAATTTAGACATACTGAAATACTTTTCACAGTTTAATTAATTTAATATTTTATATCAAAATATTAAAACTCACGCAACTCACCAAAATTCACCATCCGCGAGCAACACGTGGTCAATATCTGGCCACGTGACGAGGAGACTATATCAAACTTCCTCCTCTCTGTGTCACACCGCATACTTTAATAAAATTTAAACTCAAAACAGTTAACCAACAACATCAAAATTATTTTTCTACTAACTTAACAAAAAAAACCAAGATGTTTCTAAAAAAGGATTAAGGAGAATTTCTTTCGAAAATAACTACGAACTACGTCTACGCTCACACAATATTCAACCCAGACAAGGTTCAAGGATAAGTTCGAAAGCAATTATGTGCAATCCTATAAAAAACACAAACCAACCACAAACTATGAATTAGGACTCTGATTCCTCCTAAGAGGATACACAGGCATATGACTAAAACCGTGGCGAGTTCCCCTAATAAAACATTAAAACCCTATTTCTTAAAAATTGCGCTTCTAACCCTAGTATCCTTGTGAATAAGGTAAATGAGGGGTGCCTAACACCTTCCCTTCATCTAAGAACGAGTCCAAAAAACCCAGAATCTCTAACTTTTTAGGGTTAACCATTATATTCCATTCCTTAGGATAAAAATTAAGGGTGGCGACTCTCAATTTAAATCCGGTTACAACAGCCAATGATTCTTATATTCGTTAAATTGGATCACTGAACATATTATTGAAAGATTCTCTGAGTGACAGAGTGAAGGTTTGATCTCAAGAAGACAGTGGCTGCTGGTCATTGTAGAAAATCCTAACTGAAGATCTTAAGTGATCTGATTCTGTTGGGTCAATGATTGTTATATTCGTTAAATCAGATCACTGAGCATATCATTAAAAGGTTCCTTGAGTGACTGAGTGAACATCTGATCTCATGAAGAGAGTTGCTGCTGGTCATTATAGAAAATCCTAATAGAAGATCTTAAGTGATTTGATTCTGTTGGGTCAATGATTGTTATATTCGTTAAATCGGATCACTGAACATATAATTGAAAGGTTCCCTGAGTGACTGAGTGAAGGTCTGATCTCAAGAAGACAATGGTTGTTGGTCATTATGGAAAATCTTGATAGAAAATCTTAAGTGATCGAATTCTATTAGGTCAATATAAGTTATATTTGTTAAGTTGGATCACTGAACATGTCATTGTCTGTTAGTCACCGGTTGTTTCCCGTGCATTTGTAATCAGTTTGGTTATAGTGTATTAAGTCCTTGTTGAAAGCAAAATCACATGAGGAGGGTGAACATGAGTATCCTAGTTAATGGTGAACCTGGATAACTGAATATGTCTCTTTATATGTATTGCGTTCTATATTCTATCATAGTTCAATCAAATAATTATCTAAAGGGGAATATTTTCTTAAAACTCAATTCAAACCCCATTTCTTGTGTTTTCCGGTAGGACTTCCATCGAGCCTTCTAGCAAGATTTGACACCAAGTCTCTGGGGCTTGATATAGGTCACGCCACTTAAGCGTGATTTTTGGAAGCAATATCTCCCGAGGGGTACTAAGTCCCTCTTGCGAGATTTGGTCTTGGCCAACTTTAGCATAGCCCGGAAGGGCGGTAGGTATCCTCCAACGAGGGTTTGGCATCACAATTTCCTCGAGATGTGGAAAGGATTTTTCTGTGAAATTCCAATATATGTATATTTCCTTGAAAGGTGGCAAGGATCTTCTGATTGAAATCCAACATATAATTGCCACGAGGGTCGAAAAGGATCCTCCTGTGAAGGCCCAACATGTAATTTCCACGAGGGGCAGCAAGGATCCTTCCGTGAAGCTCCAGTATATAATTTCCACGAGGGGCGGTAAGGATCCTTCTGTGAAGCTTCAGTATATAATTTCCACAAGGGACGACAAAGATCCTTCCGTGGAGGTCTATCAAATAATTACTTCAAGGGGCGCAATGATCCTTGCATGAAGGTCCAACATATAATTGCCACGAGGGGCATAAGGATTGTTGTACCCCAAAATTTGCCCTCCCATATTCTTCAAGATTTGTCAAGATCAATCTTCAAATGGATCAAAGGGTTGCACAGTCAAACATCCTCCTAAGCCAGTCAAAATTAGGGTTTTGGTTCCTTCAATGAATTTGAGGTTTTCAATGGCTCAATCAAGTCTCATAGGCCTGTACACATTGTCAAGCATCTACATGCCAAGCTTCAAGGTTCACAACATCAGATTGCACAGTCAAAAAAGCCCATTTGCTTCACAATCAACTGCAGGGGCAAAATGGTCATTTGGCAGTCAAAAGTCAAAAATTTTGGTCAACATCTTATTTTGAGGTCACAATCATCATTTGATCAATTCTTGATCATGATTCCACAAGCATGGCTCAAAAATCATCAAGATGCAAAAGTTTCCATTTTGGGACAGCTGAAAAGTCAACTGTAACTTGACCAAGGCATAACTTTTTCATGGTTCATCAGAAAAATCCCATCCAATGCTCATTTTGAAGGGGAGGAAATTGCCTATAACTCATATTCACATTCCAAATCCAAGAAATGCTCTCACAAAAAGTTATCAATATCTACATTATAGGTCATTTTCAAAAGTCAACAAAAAGGCATTTTAAGTCAAAGACCATAACTTTAGATTGGTAAATCCAAATGACATGGGACTAAAGGAATTGGTTAGAGGACTTCAAGACCTTTCCAAAATGTCCAAGAACATGTTCATATGATCAAAATTGAGCAAGATATGCTTTGGAGAAGTTGGGAAATTTTTGTGAAATGGCAAAAGTCAACTATCCTTAAAACTTCAATTTTTGACAAAAGGGCCCACTTTCTTCCACTTGATTCAGCCTTGTCATGCCATCCACGTGTCCCATGATTAATTTAAAGACCAAACATTTATTTTTCCATTTTATTTAATTTTTATTGATTTAATTTATTTTAAATCCATAATAATTCAAATAAAATCTAAAAATTAATGGAAGGGCATCTTTTTGATTTGAATAACTTTCATATACCACATGCCAGCTACCAAATTCGTGCCAAGCCTTTTTGTGCATAAAATCCAAGATTTGAACCAAGTTTGGAAAGTCCTTTAATGGTGGTCAACAAGAATCCCAAACTTAATTACACAAGGATACAAGCCCAGTTGCTGACCTAATTTCGTTCATACATACATAAGCAAGAAGTACAAACCTATTTCGGAACCCAAGCATTGCTGAAACGGCAAAATCAAAACTCAAAAATTGTTGGAAAAGTGAGAGATCTAGAACAAGGTTGCAGGCATTTTGAGATCAAAAGAAGCACGTAGTCTTCCTCCTTGCTGTCCACTGAACCTAAAGAGACCAATATCACGTCCTAAGATCCACTGAATAGCGTTGTAAGTTCTCAAATACAGACCCCTGAACACGAAACCTCAATTCTCCATTCTTGCATTTTTCCTCAAAAATATTGGCATAGTTATGTTTCTTGTTTGATTTCTAATCTAATGACAATAGCCAATTTCGTTTTTAGGCCCTATACTGTGATACCCGATTCTAGGGTTTGTTTGTTTGTTTTTTAGGTGTTTTCAGTGCAGGAAAAATTGGCCACCATAATGGGTATAGGAGTGATCAGGAGATGGAAACGAGACCAACCATGGTTTTGGAATTAATTTTTGAAGCCTAGGGATGATTTTCAGCAAAGCCTACTAAACTACCTGCGGATTGTTGAAGAAGATGATGATGCGTCACAGCGTGATTGGCCATTTCAAACGATCGCGCGCTTTTTTATTTTATTTTTTGGCATATGCGTTGATTTACTAATATATTGACCACTTATTATTATTATTACAATTGAATCAATTGGCTCAGTGGCTAAGGCGTGCAGGCATGGAACGTTGGGACCTGGGTTTGAATCCCAGGTCCCTCAAACAATTATTTCTCCTTTTTTCCAATGCGTTCATATGCAGGATGCTGAATATTGTCCATCCTACGCCTCATCCAGATGCACGCCATGTGGCCCCTATCACAGATCCAATGGCTTAGAGCAGATGACCACCATGTACCCAGTCAACACATGCATTGGAGAAGTCAGAAAGTCCAAGCAAGGCCTGTGTGCGTTAATGGGCCAGATTTCCAAATTCACCTCCATTCTGGGCCCAGAACCCCCTTGGTTCATTTCCTTTTTCCTTTTTATTTCATATTTTCTAGTTTATTTATTTTTTTTGTTTTTCTAATTATTAGTATTATCACTAAAATTAACATAATTAATTTTTTCACCATAAAATTCAGAAAACCAAAAAAAACATTTTTATTAATTTCAATTACTTTTTTTTGTAAATAAATTCTAAATATAATTAACTTAGTTTAATTAGAATAGTTTTAATCCTTTTTTTACAATAAATAAAACAAACTTAGACTTAGTTTTTTTCTTTTGACACTTTTAATTTCTTTTTTTATTTTATTTCATTAAA